TATCTCTTTCTATTTGGTAACATAGTAATTCTTTAATCATGGTTTCCTCTAGTTCTTGAAACATATTCATAAGAGGTGATTTAAAGTCTATCTACTAAATCCAACATCTGGACCCCCTCAGGGCCAGTTTCTTTAGAGTGTTTTATTTGCTGTGTATAGGTTGCACTTCCCTTATTTTTTTTGCATGTCTCCTAATATTTGTTGAAAACTGGAAACAGTAGACATACATAATTCCTTTGAAATCTGATAATCCCTCCCCCACTACTATTTATTGTTGTTGTATTTTATTGCTGTTGTTGAGGGTAGGATTTGTTTGCTTGTTTAATGACTTTCCTGGACCAGTTGGTAGTGTTTGCATTCCCTATACCGAAGTCTCTGTTTGTTTTAGTTCTTTGTATTTTCACTCCTGGCTTCCTAGTAGTCACCCTTGTGTCAGCATAACTTAGGGGTGAGCCAATGATTGGTCACAATATGTCCTTAAATGCTTCATGGAAGTAAGTTTTCCAGCCTTTGCCATGGGAATGTGTGTGTGGTTTGGAGCACACTTTCAAAGTTCAGGCAGATTAAAAGTCTTCCTTGTCTTTCACTTTCTGCTTTCACAGGGCCCCAAGGTCAGCCAGGGATGAGTAAGTAACTAGGACTCTCTCTGCTCTTTCTTGACTGTTCACACAGCGCTGCATGTACACACAGGCTTTTGGATCCTCAGGAGCATGTCGGAGATTTTCGTAGCCCATTATGAACTAGATCTGATTCCCTAGATCCTTCTTTACGCTTTTGGCTGGCCTCTCTCTTGCTCCAGCTGATATCACTGTCTTGGGAAGTGGCAATGTTCACCTTCCCTGACTGATGCTGATTGCTGTTGTTATCAATGATGCCCTGGGAATAGAACTGTCCCATGGAGCTCTGAGTCAGGTCAAACAGAGACAGAACCTTGAGGATGGGGCATTTTGTAGCATCCCAAATCAAATCATCCCTCCCTGGTGGCAGCAAGGATGCTGGTCTTCATTGCTCCAGGCCAAGGACCCAGTAGGGAGATGGGAATATCTCCAAGTTAAAATGGCATAAACTTTACTGTTCTTATTGACAGTCGGTAGTTTTTCTTCAATAAATGCTTTTAATTTGTTGTATGCCTTTGGTTATATTTCCACGGTTCTGTAATATTTCCTTTTGTTTCTTTGTTTATTTTTTTTGAGACAGGGTCTCACTCTGTCACCCAGGCTGGAGTGTAGTGGTGTGATCATAGCTCACTGCAGCCTTGAATTCCTGGACTCAAGCCGTCCTCCCACCTCAGCCTCCTGAGCAGCTGGGACTACAGGCATATGCTACTGTGCCCAGCTAATTTTTATTTGTTTATATTTTGTAGAAATGGGGTCTGAAATGTATGGTTTTTGATAATCTTGCTAGTGTTTTGATTGCTTTTGCAGGGGAAAGGATTTATTGAGGATCTCAATCCACCATTATGGAAGTCTCACATCTGGATGATAAATTTACATGGTCATCCTACCTAAAGGATCAGCCTGTCACTCAAGCCCAGACAATCATCGCCACATGGGACTATGTTCCCAGTGTTGTTAGGTCAACTAGGGATTTTATAAAAATCTCTGAAATTTGTATTTTCTGAATTCTTAAAAAATATTTCCTTTGAGTAGAATGCAATCACCAATTTGCATTCCCAACCTGACTGAGTTTTAACAGATCCAGCCTACCAACTTTCCAGTATTCATTCCCAGTCAGTTCACATTCACTGAGCACCTACCATTGTCCTGGAATAATGCTGGCTGCTAAGGAGACAGTGGTAGCAACAGAAGAATGTAGAATAAAATGGACTTAAATTAGTATATAGGGTCAATTACAGCTCATTTCAAATTTTCCATTCTAAGGTCTTACATTGTAAAATATAGCATCTGATCCTCGGTTTTATTTGTTTTTCAATTTGAATTCAGAAAAGCTAAGTAAAATCATTTCTTCAGACTTTTTTCCTGAATAATTCTTCAGACTTTTGTATTAGAGATATTCTGAACAGTAAATATTTTTTGAATCACAAGTTTCCATAAAGAACCCAGGCTCATTTTAAAATCAGCTACAGAGCATTTGAGGTTAGGGTTGAGACTGTCTATTGAAAATGACAGTGACAAACAGATAATCATGCAAACCCCTTTGATGAGATGAACCTTTTGCACACTTCAAAAGAATTATCTTATATCATTGCAAACCTGGCAAGTAATTGCAGTGATCAGAGTAATTCATATTCAAATACTCACCATGTTTGCTCGTGGCACTGATTGTTCCAGATGTGCTAGCATTATAAAAAAATTAAGGCTAATTTTTAAATATTTAAAATACTGTTTTCACTGAGCAAACTGTGGCATTTCCAATTTTCCAAAGAAAAGGTTCTTTTTGATTTGAAGCTAGCTCTTACAATGGAGGCTAATGTTGATTGAAGACTCGGTGTCATCGTCAGTTATGCCTCCCCTTGAGGCAGTCACCTTCTGACACAGTCACCATAATCATTCACGTCGGTGCTGACAGGAGCAATCACATCCAGGTACTCGGCTCCAGTCAATCAGTGCTTCTCTCTCTCTCTCTCTCTCTCTCTGGGGACAGAGGGGGAAGTGCTACCCTAACATAGATCCATTCCAGCAAGACAGGTTTCTAAGATCACAGAAGCATAGATTTCATATAAGAAAGGACAGACTTAAAGGTCATGTTTTCAGTACAAAAATAATGTCCCTAGGGCATTCTTAATAGATAATCATTCAACCAGGGCTTGAAGCAAGATTTTCCATTTTAGGTTATAACTGTGTTCTAAGTCAACTTCCATCTGGAAGCAATTGCATGACATTGTGAACTCTGAGTTAAAAACTATGAGAACTGGAATCTAGGCCTGCATTTTCTCCTAACTTGTGATACGATTTGAAGCCAATGGATTAACCTCTTTGGGTTGCAGTAACCCCATTTGTAAAATAGAGAATACTCATTTACTGTACCTATTTCCCATAACTTGTCCCATGAGAGACATAGAGCATTATTTCTAAGGTATTAACATGACAAATAGGTCAGAAGATTTATAAGCTCCTTGTCAATCTTCAACAGGGATGTTTGCTGTGCTATTTTAACTTTGATAGTTACTCCAGAAGCATTTGAACCCAATTATTGTATACAAACACACTCTTAGGCCAATGTTAGCCAACGCTTGCCCTAGTTAGGCCCTTAGATTCCTGAGAAAGTACAAAAGTAATACTGATCAGTGACTTATTAGACTCTCCTCTCATTCTATTTGTGGTGATGTCAAAAGAGATACATTTAAATATCCTGGTTCTAAAAGTAGGACACTATAATTTATAATTATTTTCAGAAATTTTTATTTTTCCCCGAGGTGATTCTTTATTGTGTTCTCATTAAAAATAACAAACACTGAAATATCTACAATACAAACTCAAGGAGCAGAAAACTAATATATTTTTCGCTAAACATTCATCAGCTTTAAGATTCAGCAGCATGTAAATGCAATAGGCAGATCTTCAAACTGGAGCTCATCGAGGGTTTTCTATAACAAAGTCTGGAACTTGTCAAGAAAATTACTACAACCTGATATGGAAGACATCATTTCCCATTATGTTTGAGGTGTTGAAGGTGAATATTTATACATGTAGCCATCTGGACGTAACTGATAGTATATTTTTCTCCAAACTACAGTGCAAAGCTAAACTGTAGACTGTATAAGCAAAATGTATCTAAACAGTAAATGGAAACAGGAGCTTCATATTGAGCTTTAGGGGTTTGTTTTTTGTTTTGGTGGGTTTTATGCTGTGGTGTAACAGAAAGCACACACATTATTCTAAAGTATATCATCATTTGTAATGGGGAAATATTTCTTGTGTGAGCCCTTAGGAGCACCTTTTCTGCTGACCCTTACCCTGCCATTTGTAAGATCCTGAAACCAGTTATAGAAGGGGCAGTGGAATCTGTGCATATTTAAAGAACCAGGGTAGTGACCCTGCCAACAGCAAGCACCCACCCCAGAAACACCCTGAGAAGATTCTATCACGAGGCCCAAGGGCACTGCACCACTGAGTTATATATGATGGAAAAGAATATCGCGTTTTACCTGTTATGCTTATTGGAGTAGGAAACCAGGAGACAGGGCTGAGACTGGATGCGGGGGGCGGGGGGTGTGGGGGGACGGAGTTTGCAGATTGGGTGCAGGTGTTAAAGTAAAAACCTCAAGCAGAAGCTAACTACAGGGGCTGATAATTTGCAGACAAGAACCAGCTTCAACTGGCTTGTCAGCTATCTCTGACACCTTACATGAACTTTGGCCAATTAGAGTATCATTTACATTGAGGTTTTACAATTTCTTTGCCTTTCTTTGCTATGACAGTTCGAAAACCTCCATATAAAGTCTGAAAATGGGAATTACTACCCAAATTTTTAGTAAAAGTCAACCCGTTAGCCTTGAATATTCCTCCCCTCAATTAGTAAGACCTCAAAAGACCAGAAACCACTTCCTACCAGTGCAGCAGCTCTTTTCGAGCTCTCTTCCTCTTGACAGAGTGTACTTTTGTTTTCAATAAAAAATAAAAATGAAAAAAAAAAAAAACTGTCTCTTGCTTGGCTTGCATGGTGCATCCTGAAATTTTCCTGATGATCACCAAGACCTTGGAAAAACCTCTACTCGGAGGCCTCTAACATCCTCACTGTTTTCTCCCAACTATTACTCTGTAGAATTAGATTGGACCAGAGGGGAGCTGCCAAGAATTTTGTTTTGGTTTTTTTTTTTCCCTAGCAGCATTTTCATGATGGGTTTCCTTTATGTCATTTTTAAGAAATAAGTCTACCAAAATAAAAAATTTTAAAAAAAGAGTGATGTAGGCACACAAGATTAGTTCATTTTTTATTGAACATTTAAGATTCATATACAAAAGCTAACAGAGCCATAAGTCAATCATGAAATACATACATGGAAATAAAAAGGAAAATAACTCAATTACAATGTCTCACCACTGAAGCACTACACGCTGGCTGCAGGGAGAGGTGGTCAATGTTTCAGAGACAGCGAACGTATGTGCCAAATGCCGAGAATGTCATCACACATCTTCTCGTTTTCACATTGCCTTTTCTTTCCTGGTTAGTGGGAGGTGTAGGTGGGGTGGGAAATAAATTTCTTTTCCAAAGGAAAAAAAAAAGAATTTTTAAGTAGTTAAACTTTTCCCCCGGGGAAATATTTTATCTGTTGATCTAACATACTATATATTTCTGTTATTAAATTTGTCTGTATAAACGTTTGCCTATTCTATTTCTTCATGTAAGATCATGCAGTACTTTTCTAATTTCAGAACAGTAAGAATTATCAAAGGCAATTCATTTTGTACATAAATGTCCAAGTTTCCTCGTAATGAAAAATGTGCTCTTTGTGATCTTCGTTTCTTGCACTAGTTGGTCAAGTAATAACCATGGAGCATTCCTAAAATATTTCTTTGCTGGGAAAATTTGTATGAAATGACACTGGAAGTATAGAAAACATCATTAGGTAACACTTGGAGCAGTTAAAAATAGACTTATCTTGTTTGTAAACTATCAATGTAAGATACTGAGTATCTGAGTGTCAGTCATCGTCTCCTGTTTTTCTAGAAAGTTGTTTGCTTTATTTACCAATGTGACATCTTTGAAACATCTGAAGTAACATATAGAAACATCAAGGCAATATTAATTGTACATATTATTAAACATGCAAAAATTTCCTGAAAGAGAGTGCCCAAACGTGGAGAGGCCCTCTGAGCTCAAGCCCTCCGTGGTACAACTTCGCTGGGAGTATGGCTCTCTTTGAGTTTGGGAGCGCGGTGGGTCATTTTGGAGAGGCAGCTCCTTTAATCACCGGCTCCCTATTCAAATATGTTGCCCAGTAAACTAAGTTGAAAGTGCCGAACAAGACTGGGAATACAATTCGGGACATTTTGTCAATCTTGCTGATGCTGTTGTAAGTCTTTTTGCTTTCGGAAGGCTTCTCCTCAGGTTTCACTGAGACTGAAGATGCATTAGAGGTCCCTGCGGGGGTCTGCTCCTTTGGGATGTTTGGGGCGTGGGTCATCTTCCCGGTCGTAAAAGCATTTGTTGACTTCTTTAGGATGAGTTCACGTTCTTTTTTCTGCAACATATAAGAAGAATGTGAGGACAAGCCATCTGCGGGCAACTGTCAGCTCCCTTTGGAGTTCTAAAGGGGTATCTCCCAAAAGAGGTAAAGAAACACCTGCTTGTCCCTGGGATTCTCAGTCCAGAAGCCACTACTTTCTTGGTCTATAACCCCAAGCAGCCAGCAGACAGGAACCTGGCACAAGCAAGAGCCATTATTGATATTAATGTTTGGCATTCCTCAAGAACCTAGGATAAACTTCTCTTACACTGCAGAGCGGCCATCATTTTGGTAGCTGTGGGAGTCAACAAGACACGTGGATATAAGGGAAGCCCTAAGGAATGGCCGAGAGTCATCCATGTTGTTGCTAGTGTCAGTATTTCATTCCTTTCCACTGCCGAGTGGTATGTCTTTGTAGGAATATACCCTCAGTTTCTTATCTTCCTCTTGATGGATGCCTGGACTGCTTCCAGTCTTGACTATTATGGATTAAGTGGCTATGAATACTCTTGCATATATTTTTGTGAAGATTTTTTTTTATTTTTCTTGGATATGAAATTCTAAAATAGGCTAGATAATTTATGGTAGAAAAAATTGGAATAGTGGGTACACTTGCGCTGGGGGACAGGAGCTGCCTGGGAGGAGGCACAGTGAACTGTCTGGAGGCTGGTGATGTTCTCTGTCTTGACAGGGATTGTGTCACACAGGAGTACATGCTTGCCAACCCTCGGCAAAGGTGCCCTTCAGACTCGTGCATTTCACGCTATGTAAATTTTGCTTCAAAAGAATAAAACAGTATAACAATATTGAACTCTAGTTAATTATACACATGCTAACATATTTATTGGGAAATGAAATTTATTTGAAATGCATCAAAAAATAAGATGGACCAATGGATGGATTGAGGATGGGTGTAGGGATGGATGGATAGAGGGAGAGATGACAGATGGATAGATGGGGATGACACAAGCACAGCTAAATGTGAATGGCAGACAGGCTTTCATCGTAAAATTCTTCCAACACTGCTGCATGTCTGAAAATTTGCATAATAAAACGTCAGAAAAAATTTTGTTTCATTACCAAAGTAATATAATCTCACTAAATAAAATTCAGAAAATACAGGATAGTAGAGTAAGGAAAATATATCAACTATTAAAAATATGTAAAAGATAAAAAGCAGAAAGGCCAAGCAGGGAGCACAGGAGCAGGTGAAAACAGAGGTAGAGCAAGTGCCGGGCAGGTGCAAGGAGCATGAGAGCCACCTGGAACACCTCGAGGGACGCTGATGGAGGCAGGCCATACTCCAGAAACGTGATGGCGCTTTATATTCCCCCATTACATGAGCACCGACGCTGGTCCGCCAGAGGACCAGTAAACATGACCGACTGCTCTGAATGGTTCTCATCTCTGAGTGGAGCCAGGGAAAGAGCCAGCACTTTGGAAGACACTGCTCTGCTGTGACAGTGTGTGTTTTTACTGCGGAGGGACGAGCAGCAGAACTCAAGATAGTCACAATGGTTGTGCTGGACACGGATGTGTGTCCTTTCCAGGAGGCACTAGCTGCCCTGCTGCGGCAGTGTGGCCAGGTGTCAGCTCTTTCCGGGCAGCCTCAGCTGCAGAGGGCTGCCTGGCCTAAGTCATGCCCTTGGCAGCGGAGCTGCCCACATGTGGTGGCCAGCAAGGCAGGAGTATAAAGTCCTGGCCATGTCCCCTGACGCAGAGCAACACCCAGGATATTTGCTCCAAAGCTCCCCAGTGGACTAGCAAAGGCTTTGCTGGACTTGTATCATAGATCAACATCTTCCTGTACCCAATCTTACTTCCTCCTTTTTCCTTTCCCAAGTATTCACCCCTAAAAACTGCCTTGCTCCTCAAACTCTGACCCAGTGTTTGCTCCTAGAGATCCCAACATGGAACAATGGTGAGTACTGTCTATTTTTTTTTAAGTTCACTCTACTTCCAAGAAACAATTTACACGAGCAGGCTAACAGGAGGCTTGCTTATCCATGCTCGCTGCCCGTGTGTGACAGTACGGCGTGCCTGCCCAAATGCCTGCGGACACTCCGATGCCTCCACCGCACAGAGCCTCTCTGGCAGCAGCGCTGGAATCCCCAGCACATCAACCTTCCGGGGAATGACACGTAGTCTTGACGTTCCACAAGACTGACCGAGGCACATTGCTTATTCTAGAAAATCACTGCTAGCGTGGGGTTAGACAACGCACTTCACCACCCTGTCTCCTCCCTCCAGGTCTCCATTCAGATCTGCAGCAACAGGGGGCCGAGTGAGGACACGGTGGCTGACAATCCTGGCAACACTGTCCATAACACCTGACAACATTTTAGGTCTCTCCATTTGCCCCGGACTTCGCGTTCCTCCTAGACCCACAGGCGTGAGCCTGGCAACCTCAGTTCATGCCAAGGGCTCCCAGCTCCCTGACTTCAGACTTGGCTCTCTCCAGCCCACGTGGTATGGCCATCTAAGACTCATGCATTTGGCAAACTGGTACCTTCCAGTGACACAGGCTGGGTTTTGGGAAGCCGCCTCTCCCCAGACTCCATTCTATGTCCCCAACCCTGACAAATACACTCTGCGGCCCCCTGGTCTGTGCAGTCTGGAGACAGCCTGTCCCTACAAATGCTTCCCAGCTCACCAACCCCTCGACCACCCAGTGCAGTCAGGTCACTCCTGTCCACCCTCCAGCCCCCAAAACGCACCCACACCTGAGGCTCCTGTTGTCCAGGCCTTTCCTCCAGCTCCCCTCCACCTCCTTTTGTGAGGGGCCCAGAATGGGCCCTTCCTGGCCTTCTTCCAACCTGACATGCTGCACCTGGAAGTGGGATGAGCCCCCAACTGAAACTAGAGCACAGGAGGGGACTCCTGGCACCTAGAAGTGGGAAGAGCCAGATGGGCCAGGTCAGGTCAGAACTTCTGACTTTTCCTAGGAAAGGAAGCAGCAGAGTCAAACGCTAAGAGCAAGCATGGGGCTGTTGACGGAACACAACCAGGTGTGCTCACTGGAGCCAGAGCACCCTGGTTTGCCATAACTGGCTTGCGGGCCCTGGCTGGGAGGTCAGGACATAGACCTCCCTACTGCCTTCCAGGAGTCCCTTCATGCTGAGTTTCCAAAGCACAGATTAAGTTTCACTTTCAAGTCTGCCCTGCTGGCTCTGACCTGCTCTTCTCTCAGTACAGAAGATTAGCCGATTTGTTTCACGCATGCTGTAATTAGCAGTATATCACATACTGCTTTATTTCCTATCTTTGTATGTTATTCGCAGCTCCCCAAGGAAATCATGCCGCTTGGAATCTTGTGCAACTGTTTTTCTCCAAATGGTCTGAAGATTTAGGCACAAATCACCCTTTAAATACTCAATGATTAATTGCTTTGAACAGAGCGATATTTTCCACAACAATTTATGTGCATGGTGCGGAGGAGTCGAACCACTTCGTCAGCAGCCCTGGCCATGCTCTGCTGACGTGATGCTGCCATTAAGTCGAGTGCCCTCTTCACGACCCAAACGCCACCTTGAAGAGGACACACTGCGTGGTGAAGTGGTATTAAAATGAGCAGAAGAACAGACTGCACAATTAAAAACTGGACAAGTCGTCCCTGATGAGGTAGGAGTTACTTCTGCAAAAATATTAACAATAGGCTTGAATACAAACAAGCCCAGGCCATTCATGTCACATCAGACCGTTCGCTCAAATGAAATGGGTGATTCAAAATAAATCAGAAAAGTGCCCCTTTGTAAGTAAGATGTTGTAAGGACCTTGAATATGAGGGAAGGGATGATTGGGGGCTGGTGCAGGGCGGGTAGAACCAACGCCTGGTCTCATATTGGGACATGGAATGAGGCACATCTTCTCAGTTAAGAAAGGAGAGGGAGGAAAACAAGGTCAGTACCTTGATCTTGGCGGCTTCCAAGGCTTTTTTGCCGTCCCAGGCCCAGCCCCTCTTGGTGAAGTAGTTGACTGTGGCAAACTCGATCAGTGCAGAGAAGACGAAGGCGTAGCACACGGCTATGAACCAGTCCATGGCGGTGGCGTAGGCGACTTTGGGCAGAGAGTTCCGGGCACTGATGCTGAGGGTGGTCATGGTCAGCACTGTGGTGACCCCTGCAGGCCAGAGGGGCAGAGTGGGGAAGGCAATGGGATCAGTGCCCGCGCTGCACCCAGAGCAGCACCCCCGGGCGTGACAAGCAGAGACACAAAAGGGACTGGTCATTTTAACCGCAGCCTGCACCTTCATCTTCACTGTGTGCATAACATTCAAAACACGCACAGCATTTAAGATATTGCTTATTCGATTTATCCCAATTGTCTCCTTCTTCTGGAACGTGAGCTGAGGAGGGCAGGGAGCTGGGTCTGAACTGTGATCCGGATGACGGAACCGGACAAATAAATACCTGGTGCACGACACAGACATGCTGAGTGAGTGGTGCGTCTCTGTGGCACTAGGGCAAGATCGGTGGAGAATGGGAGCCCCATTCACACTGCAGCTGGTAAAGTGCTTCACAACTACTGCACACTTTGTAAGTACCGGGCTCCCCGCAAACAGAAGAGACAGGCTTTCTGTAACCAGGACTAACCCAACCTGCAGACTTGCAGGAGCCAGGGTGCAGCAGGAGCACCGCATGAGAATCTCAGTCTGGGTGCTTCACCCCCGCAAAGAGGGCACAATGTCCCCTGCAGACTGCTTACAAGGTGCCTGTGGCCTTGTAAACTCTGCAGTGACCACACAGCGAGGCCAGATCCCTCGGAGGGAACACTCCTTTAGGACTGGCCGGTTATGGGCCATCTATGGGGCATCTGAGTATCAGACTCTGATCTGAGCCACATTCAGGATGGGTGTCTCATTATCCCCATTTTGCAGGTAGCCACCCTGAAGATTCAAAAAGTATTTAGCAATGTGCCCATATTTGCCAGTTGGTGAATGAGACAACCCATCTTCGGACCCAGGTCTGCTGCACTCTTGCAGTCCACGCAGCCTGCACGTGCTCATCCTGCCTTCCTTCTCAAGGCAGTTTTGTCTGCATGAGCATGCACCTATGGGGGGGATGTAGGTGTAACGCACCTGCTGTCAAATTGTTCCCCCCACCCCCAACAATCACATGTTGAAGTCTTAATGTCCAGTCCTGCAGACTATGACCTTATTTGGAAATACAGTGTTTACACAAGTAATCAAATTAAAATGAAGTCATGAGGGTGGGCCCTAATCCATTACGACTGGCGTCCTTATAAGAAGGGAAGATCCGGACACAGACACGCACGGGGAGAAGGCCATGTGAAGACTGCGGTTACACTGCCACAAGCCAAGGAGCTACCAGAGCCTGAGAGAGAGAGAGAGCCCTGGAACAGCTCCTTCCCTTGCAGTCCTCAGAAGGAGCCAACCCTGCTGACACCTTGATCTCAGACTTGCAGGCTCCATAACTGTGAGACAGTAGGTTTCTGCTGTTTAAGCCCCAATCTGTAGTACTTTGTGACAGCAGCCCTGGAAACCAGCACAGCACCAAAGGAGCTAACATTGCTGGTGGCCACAGCAGCCAACGGTTTTCATTCAATGCCATCCTCCACAGGTATTTACATATACTCAGGAACAGGGTACCCTGCATGGAACTAATGCTTAATGAGAGATTAGTAGGCATTTTTCATTTTTCTCAGAAATCTAGTTAATCACTGTGCTGGGGGGAAGTGTTCTATGCATGACCTTAAACAAGATTCTTGCATCTTCTTGGGCCTTTAATATCCTAACGTGCGTTGGTAATCTCCAAAAGGAAACAGTCAGTAATAGACAACATTCTCCCTGCTTGTGTTCCCTGCCAGCCTACTAAGTTTCCCCTAGAGAGTTCATTGGGTACATTAGTTTGGGGAGCACTGCCTGACCAGGAGCCACCCTCCACACCTTCTGAAACAATGCTGAGCTCAGTCAGGCCTCTCCAGTGAAGCTGGACACATGGCTGGAGGTCAGACGGGAGTGTTCCTGTGCCACTCACTCATAAACTCCCTGGGCTCTTGGCTTCCTGTACACTCTGGGAGCATCAGGATAAAATACATGCTCACTTTTTCCTCCTTTGAAAAGGAAACTGCAATAGCAAGTGCTAACGTGTGAATCGTACCTCACAGTTTAGAAAGATGTGAGCGTCCATGATCACAACTGACCTGCAAAGCTACCTTTAGTATCCCTTCTTGGATGTGAGGAAAATGAGCTTCAAGGTAAGAGTCAACCACTCAACTATGTCAGCTGTGCCAATGTACCTCCTGAGCTAGATCTTCCTAAACTTAGTCTACGGCTTAGAGATGTAAAACGATGTTGTTCTAGATTCTTGTCATATATGTTTAATTTTTTACTATTGTATCACATTGATTGTGATTTGGTAGTTAATTTTAAAGTGGCATGCACATTTCAAAGAAAACTGCCCGATAACTTATAAAGTAGTGCTTTATGAGAACTGAGAAAATACTACAGGTTGCGTATCCCCAAATCCAAAACCCGAAATGCCCCAACATCCAAAACTTTTTGAGCCCTGACATGATGCTCAAAGGAAATGCTCACCAAAGCTTATTTTGGAGTTTTGAATTAGGGATCCTCGACCAGTATAATACAAATATTCCAAAACCCCCCAAAAATCCAAAATCAAAAACACTTCCGGTCCTGAGCATTTTGGATAAGGGCTACTCAACCTGTATAGCAAAATCTCACATAAAACAGATACATGCTGGCAGTTTCAAACTTCACAAAAAGGCTTTTCAAATAGGAAATGACTATCAAATAGACCAAGCATTATTCCCTGAACCCTCCTTTAGAAAGAAATTCTAAATCCTAATCCTCAACATTAAATTCTTAACTGGTCAATTTGTTTCCCAGGTCACACAACAGAGAAGCAACACTAGTTTTCTGGCATTGGTTGCTGTTGCTTTAGGTAAGGGTGGTCGTTAGTGTCTGTCACCAAATACCAGTGTCCAGGTCTGGCTTGGGGACACTCACCAAAAACTGTCCTGGCTGGGACTGATTCCCGGTTCAGCCAAAAGGACACCTGTGATAAGATCACGGTCATTATGCAGGGAAGGTAGGTCTGGATGACAAAGTACCCAATCTTCCTTTTCAGGTGGAAATGAGCCGTCATGATTGTGTATTCACCTGCAAATGAGAAAATTAACTCCCCTCAGTTGCCTGCAGTCTCTGCACTCAGGCCACCGGTTCCTGCTGGCTGGGTCAGAGGAGTTCACTGGGAGTGGAGCCTCCTTTCATTCCCCTTTCAAGTCAGACAGGTGTGTACTTGTATTATTTGGGTTAAGGAGAGGACAGAGGAGGATGCATGAATTTCTTAGTGGTCATTTTATAAGTAAGTCTTTTGACCCTGGTCTCTGAAGAGCATTGGACAGATGCTCTTCCTGGGGAAAATCAGATTCGTGTGTTTCACTAATCTCCGGTCACAATCTGTGCCTTTCTCCCACCCACCCCCTTGCCTGCTGCCGCAATCAGGATTTCAGGATTTAGGCTCTCCAGATGTAACTCGGGACATGACAGAACCCTGCTGTGGGGGGACAGATTCCTTCCTAGTTCCCAGTCTGGGAGGCTCCAGGGAGGTGGGACGACCACTCTCCTACCCCGCAGGCGGCAGGCTCTGTGCTGGCCTGGCTGGCTGGAGGGTGAGGAACAGCAGCTCAGGGGGCCACAGATCCTGGCAGTTCATCCTTTCTGCCACCTACCACAGACAGGTGTCATCTGCTCTCTGAAATCGTGGGCATTTCCTTGGCAATGCCCCAGTGCCTTCTCTGGATTTGCCTGGCTATGTGGGAGGCGAGAGGGGACCTCCCGTTCTTTGCTGAGAATGATGCCGTCCTGATGGTTAACTGGTAAGGAGCTGAGGCGGGGGTGGGGGTCAGAGGGTGAGTGTGGCCTGCTGGGCCAGCATCTCCAGGCTACTGGGATTTGCATCCCCCTGGGGAGATGGGAAGTGTGCTTGGGGAAGTCGAGACAGAGCTGAACTGATCTGCAAGGAGGGGATGGCGTGGCCGGGGAGCCGGGTTGCGTTGTGAACGTGGGGAGAATGGTTGTAGGGGCTCCACTAAAGCAGGCCGCAGGTGAGGCTTCACCTATTAGGGGAGTGGTCTGCGGGTGCGTGGACAGAGTGCTGGGACACTGGAGCTGATGACACAGCTGCAGTGCTTGCTGCTGGAATGGAGGCCCATAGCTTGGCAAGGCCAGCTGCAGGTGCTTCCTCGAGCCTTTGCTCACAACACATGTTACGTTGAAGGAACCACAGAAATCCTATGTTCCTTATGGGAAAGAAGCCAAAATTCCGAGCATGGCCTGAGACAAGCCAGCAGCAGTAGGGCGCGCTTTCCCACAGCCCAGGCAGGGGAGGGCTGCTGACGGGCAGAGCTGGCTCCGACATGGGAGAAACAAGGACAACAGAAGGGCAGGGGAGAAGTTTAGCAGCCAGGACTGGATCTTTAATCCAGTTCTGCCTACTCCCTAACGCTGGAGGAAGTGAAGTGCTGTTTATTTCTTTACAAGTAGGATTTGAAATCAGTCTCCAAATTCTTTTGGTGGTGGTGGTTCTTTTCATTTTGTTTCATTTTTGAGTTGTGGGTAGCAACATCTGGTATTGTAAAAAAAAAAGACTATCTTTTTAGAATGCAAATAGGGGTAGAAACCCCAGCTATAAATTTTTAAAGAACTGTGTGAAACAACTGCAAACTGCAGCATCCTCCGTTAGCCCACTATTCTCCACCCCAAACTTCTGCCATGCCACCTTTCACTCGTTCCCGTGAAATCAGCCCATCTCCTCGGCCCTTCCCTTTAGTGTGGTAGCCAAACGGTGCTGCTGTCCTCCCAGGCTCTCACATACCCAGGGTGCACAGCAGACAGGGCACAAAACTCGCAGTGCGCTCCTGCCAGCTGCAAGAGTAGATGGTGCCAACGCCCCGCTATGCCTTCCAGGGTTCCCCTAAGGATGTCCTCTGAGGCTTAGGGCTCATTCTGGGATCAGAGCTCCCTCCGTGTCTTTAGGCTTTTCTCCTCTGCTATGAAAACTCTCTGCAGCCCTGAAGTACCCCCTCAGCGCCCCCCCAGGTCATAGCTCTGCCTTGTGACCTTGACCAGGAAGGCTGGGCCTGCCGCAGCTCAGAAGCACCCGACCATGTAACTTGCAGGCTCAGCAGGTGGAAGGCACCTGCTCCTCTGGACTCCCCACCCACTCTGTATCAGAGCGCGCCAGGCTGGGGTTGCCCTGCCCCAGCACTCGGGGTCTGCTTCCTTCTTGGTTCCCCTCAGCTCGTCTTTGTACGCTGTTTGGTTGTGCTTTCCCACGTTCAGCCCCAAGGACATACTCTCTGTGATGTTCAAGGTGGGAGCAGGTAGGGGAGCAGGTAACTGGGAGCATTTGCAGGAAGGTGCCTACGTTTCCTGCAGAGACCACCCCATGTCCTGGTGCCCAGGGCAGGGGAGTGTTATTTATGTAAGCAGGTCCATGTGGCCTCCAGGCAGGGCCTGCTCCCACGGGAGCAAATGCACCACAGATTAATGCCTGGAATCACCCTTAATGCCACGGCTGCCACAGCTGGTGCCTCCGTGAGCAGCTGCAGGGAGGGGCTGGCGGGAGGACTCCTTTCGGCCAGCACTCATGCAGCTGTCACAAAGGAGACACTGCTGGCCAGGATGGGTGTGCGAGGCTGGTGCCCCCTCCCACGTGGCCCCCACAGGGTGGTGCCAGGAGCAGGAATGCTGTCCTTAGTGTCCCTGGCAGCACAGCCCATGCTGGGCTCCCACCTGTGCTGGTGCTGATGTTCTCCGTGCCCACCGTCTGCCCCATCAGGTGGTACTGGTTCAGTCTGGAGCCATCTTCTGCCACCACCACGGACTTGGTGGAGCCGTTGGTCCAGACGTACACGACCTCGGAATTAGGGTACGCATCTGTGTGAGGAAGGGCAGAAAGCGGTATAAGCATGGACTCATTCCCTGAAAAACACAAAGGTGCTTATTAAAGGAGCAAGAGAGAGGGTGGGGAAGTTTGCACTGGCTAGGACAGCAAGATTCCGGAAGGGCCCTGCTTCTGGTGGAAGAGTGGAGGTTCGGGTGCTGACGTGTTGGAGGCAGGTCGCGGAGGGTCTGCCCAGGGTGCTGAGCAGGCTGCGACTGTACAAGGCCGCGGTTCACGGGATGGTTCTCCGCATGCAGATGTCACCAGAGACGTGGGCTGGGAGGTCACTGGACAGAGTGTGTGTAAAGAAAAGAGAACGGGGCAGGGCCTCCCAGGGTGCTGCAGGGGCTAGAGCTCGAGAGGATGAGGAAGGAATGGCAGAGCAGTGGGGCCGTGTCACAGGCTGCAGACCATGCTGAGGGGTGGCCAGAGGATTGAACAAGGCCACCTAGGCAACAGCAGCTGGGCAGGGGTTTGCGTGTTCATCTGTCTCTCCAGGCCCCAAAGGCGAATAGCACACCTGACCCAGGGTCCAGCCCCCGACACCTTCACAACAAGGCTGTATGCTTTCGCTCCCAGCTACTCCAGCAGAGCGCAACTGTGAGTCCACATCGGACAGAACCATGCGCTGTCACAGGTGAGAAAACCGGAGGTGTCTCAGGAGCAGGGGATGAGCCGGAGAGCGGGACGTGTGCTCCGGACCTGCAGTGACAGTGAGGGCCGGTTGCTGCCGTCCTGCTCGGTCTCACAGGGAAAACCTTGTCCTTCTAGCAGAGGTCTCGATGGGGAGAGGCCAGGAGAAGGGTCTCTTGAATGATATGCTGCAAAATGTGGCCGTTTCTTTGCTAACTCACATGGTTTCCCTCCTTCTTGTTTCAGGTGCAAACAAGTTCTCATAATAGTTGAGAAAGTAACAAAGCAGGGGCGTAGGAAAGAAAAGGCCCTCCCTGTGCAGGACTTACCAAAAGCTCACCTTCCCTTCCCTGGGCAGGATTCTGAATTTGATGCTCTGTAGTTTTACATTATAGACAGGAGTCACTAAAGAATATATCATTTGGCTCTGCCAATTTTTTTTCTGTGAAATCTGTTCACGTTTTCTCTACCTATTTGATTCATATGTTTTCTTTACAGAGTCTGATACACATACTTTTTGCTATACGTGTTGGAAATATTTTCTTAAGTGTGTAGCTATTGCACTTTGTTCATGATGTTTCTGGGGGGCAACATAAGTATTAATTTTAATGTAGTTAAATTTAGCAAACTTTTTAATTTACAATTTACTCTTCCAGCATCTTATTTCAAAAGCACTCCCTTTTCCTCACTCTCTCATTACACATGAATGATAAAAGTTTTAAGATGTCTTTCACAGTTGTGGCTTTAATCCCCTGGGGTTGACGTGTGTATATATTTCTGTATTTAAGTTTGCAATGCCATTTTTTGCCTGTGGCATCATGGTGTGACCACACTGTTACCAGGGTGTCCATCTCACCCACTCACGTGCAGGGCCCGCCTGCTCTGCCAGGGGAGCGTCCGTCCTGAACCCGCTTTCTGTCCCCCCGGCCTGTGTTCTGCTCCCTTTCTCTATCCCTGTTTCAACCTGAGCTGCCACAATTACACAGACTCTAGAAGTGCACCAAGAGCCAGAAGGGTGAGGCTCCCCCTTTTCTTCTTCAGGGGGTCCTGGCTGTGCTTGGCCTTTTGTTTATCATATACTTGTTAGAATCAGCTTGTCAGGATTCATTGAAAAAAAAAAAAACCTTCATGAGATTTATATTGGAACTGAATTGGATCTATAGATTATAGGTTATAGATTGGGGAGACGTGACATCTGCTATTTCACCTTTTACATCATAGCCACGATGAATCCCCTTTTGTGTTTAGGTCTTTCACATTGAGATATCTTTCAAGAGAGCTGTACAATTTCTGCGTAATAACCATGCATGTCTTTGGCTAGATGTTCTCCGCCTAGGTGTGTGATGCTCAACACTCTTTCCTGGTAACCAGCTCGCCCTGTCCTGTCCCAGCATAACAGCCACGAGGGAGGCTGACTGAGAGGCTGCCGGGCTAGGGAGGGTCAGACTGTGGACACAGTATCTGGGATATTATCCTGACGCCGATCTGCACGGGAGCAAGACACTGAATAGAAGCGAGCAGGGCAGCCCCATGACCGCAGCTGGTGGGCTCCCGCAGCTGCCATGCTTGGCTGCAGGGGAGTGTGTGGTATTCTTGTCAAGGTCAAGGTTTTTTTTTAATTAGTATGACCTGCTGTCTGCAAGTTTTAGGTGGTATGTAAGTGTGTGTTCACTTGGACAGCACTGGAGTTCCCCTGACACAAGTGTATTCTGTCGTCATTTCCCTTCTCCACTGGGCAGCCGTGCAGCTCAGGTGGTGGACGTGGTGGGGGACGCTGCTTTCTGTCTTGGCAAGAGGCTGTCTAAATGTCTCCTCGCAGCACCGCTGGGCATTTCCCGCAACTCTACTGGCTCCTTAAGCTCCACGTGAATGACAGTGAGGTTCTGTCTTTTTCCTATGATGTAAACGTTGCGGAGCCCTGAATAATGAAGGGCCACGGCACTCAGATATGGATTTGAGCGGAGCAGCCAGGCTGGATTCTGGCCAGGCCGTGAGAGTGGCGCACACAGGAGATGGTAATGAGCCAGTGTCCTCCGGGCGGGGCGAGCCCCTGCTTCCTGCTGTCCTCATCCTGGCTCAGGCAGGTCTGTTCCTGTCATCCTGAGCACCTGTTCTGTATTCTCTCCCCGGCTTATCTGCCTCATCCAGGGACAACTGCACTGTGCAGCTGGTCTGCCGTAGTGGCCAGTCACAGAGAGGGGGCTGTAGGTGTCCCCAGCCCACAGGGGAAGTGTGAGTCTGACCCCTGGCCCAGAGAAGTCGGGGGGCCTCCAGGCCCCTTGTGAGATGGGAGCAGGTTGTGAAACATGAATCCAGAAGCTCGCGAAGCAGCCCAGAGCTTGGGGCAGTAGGTGCTGGTGACTGAGGCCGTCCTGGGAGTCAGGAAGCACGTGGGCAGGCAGACATTCATCTACAGAGAGCACAGCACACGGGAAAACACCTCCTGCGTGAGCTGACTACTCAATGCCAAATGTGCTTGAGGAAGAAGGGGAAGTGGAGGGAGAACCTCTCCCACAGGGCAGCACCTCAGGACCTGGGATGCTTTGGGAGGGGGAAGAGGTCTGGGGTGAGGGTGCTTCCTCCGAAGGCCACGATGGAGGCCGAGTGAGGACAAGAGGATGCAGATGGGAGTCATGGAGGCTGGAAGCTGCAGAGACAGGTGTGGAGGCTGGGCCCACTGGCCTGCAGGGCACAGACTCCATCCGTGTGCCCTCCTGACTGGCGGACTGCTTATCCCCTTCCACGGCAGGGTTGGGGATGGCACACAGTCATCAGCAGGACTCTGAGGCTGAGTGGCATATGACCGGGGACACATGCCTGTGTGCTGCCAGCAGGGGGACCACAGGGATGGCCAGCTGGGGCAGAGGCCAGCTGTGTTACTGGCCGCCTTGTTGGGCCCACATCCCCCAAACCCTTTCCTCAATTGTTGGGGGATGGGGGTGGGATGACTTCTCTTACTGTAAGGATCCAATAAAATAATAATCATAAGTAGACAAAAGTTACTTAAAACCACAGAGTACCTACAATTCATCATCATAACTCATACAGTCTTGCTTTTCAAACTGCTAGTGAGTATTAAATGGCCTATTGATACTGATGATGTTAATAACATTAATAAAACAACAGCAAGAGGCAGTGTGGGCTATAGTATGTCAGTTTGACATCGCTGGGTTCTGCTCTCCTCATCACAGCAAGGATGGGGATAAAAGACCCCTCATGTCCCTTCCAGCTCGGCCATTTAGCAACCAACCCTAAATCCTTCTCTCCATGTCAGCGTGGTGGCATTCAATCTTTGAACTGGGACAACAGTAAACGAGGCAATCAGGTCTGCTGTGACATCATTTGCATGATTTAGAGCTCCGGAAAATATAAGGCTCGCCCTCCCCTGACCATGCATCAGCAGAGCCAGGCAAGACTGCTGAAACATTTTCACTCACAGCCGACTTGGATGTTCAGCACTGGGCTCCTCCAGGCTGCTGCCCTAGGCTGACCCTGTCTGTCCTCTCCTAGCCTTGCAAATCCTGGCCGGGAGGTGGCAACAGCACATGTTTGCAAGGCCTTTCAGAAGCCACGAGTTTCTGATTATGAAAGAAAGAAGGCAGCATGACCCTGACTTCACTACCAAAGTGGCCTCAAACAACCTCTTTGAGCTCTGAGCCTCTACTTTCCCATCTGTAGATTGGGGAAATAACATGCATCTCCTAGGATTGCTGTGAGGACAAAGCATATACAGGAAAGTCAGGTATTTGTCATACACCTGATGCACACAGTAGGTGCTTCGTAAATAGTGGTGACAGTGACCATAACCATATGTTAGG